CTTCACGCATATTTCTTGCGGTTGACGAAGAGGGCTTTTTTTCGCCTCTGAATAATTTTTCACAATTTATCATATGGCATATCGGCCTTACTGTCAAGACTGAATTTTTGTAGGAAGAATTTAAGTGAGCCTTCCTTTTCGACTTCAGAATGAGGAAAACATTTTTTGAGGTACACTCAGACATCAATCAGTACGCAATCTGACAGTTTAAGAAAGCTAGAAGTAAAATAATCTCCCACACTAATTTTGATCTTAATTGGATTGCCTATATATTCTTTCTCCTCCAGATCCTCTTCACCTTTCTCAGGAGCCTTAACAAGATACTTTTTCACGAAATCATTTTCAGATTTTACTCCTATCTTTTCACAGTATTTTCACTTTAGAATTTCTTTATTTGTTTCGAACTTTCCTGTCATTCGCTCCCACATCCATTCGAGTATGTTGAAATGATATGCTCTTTCTATAATAAAACACCAATCATAATCAGAATCATTAAACCCAACATGAATATCAGAGGCAAATGCTCATTAATAGAGAGTGAAAGCTTTTAGTAGATTCACTTGATTTCTGCAAATGATTGTAATCCAGTGTAGGTCTGGTTCTATTTCAACATCGACAAGACATATTTGCTTTAGTGGTTTTGGATCATCTTTCTAATGCAATGTCATAAAATCATAAAAACATTATTTTTGGATCAAGGATTTCAGCAAATTCACCTAATTCTTGTGATTACGTCTCTATATTCCATGTAAGGACAAGAGTACGATCCCATAGGAAAGCTGAAATGGGGAATTGGTCACTTATTATTGTAAGATCTTCCAGTAAACAGAAATCTTTTATAGATACGTAGATTTCATGCGGACAGAGTGGACTGGTCTCTTTGCCTTGCTTGTAAATATATTTGTTTATTGTGAACTATCCAGAGAGTTGGATTCCATTTTCTCAAGCTACCTTTTGGTGGAATGAGTATAAATCATCTGAAGTAGTTTCAAAATTTTTTTCTTGGATAGCTTGAATAGCTTTCTTTCTCTTTCCAGTACCATTCATATAAATTCGTAAATATGACTTTTTTGGTATGATAACCCTGGAAAGGGAATGCTTTAATGTGTTCTATTTTATATGATTTCACAATGTCAGAGAGAATTTCGCTTACCTTTTCTTTGCATTTATCTGAAGTCTCTCCATTTGGTACGAGAATATCAAAGAAAACCTGAATGTTCATAAGAGTTATCAGTGCCTTTTGGCCATTAATAAGGCGATCATAAAGACGTAATATATAGCGATACGTTCCATTTATCCTTTCTGTTGATCCTTCATTCTCAATAGCCATGAATGAAATTTCTTGTCATTTAGATAGAGCATTCTCGAGTATTAGAGTTAATCCCTCATCATTTCTCGCAACTATATCATCCAGTGTTAAAAAGCCCAACAAGTATTTTTCACCAGAATAGCAAATTACTTGGGCTTCCATTTTATCTTTTTCAGCTTCTAGGTGAAAAAGGGCAGAGGCATTGAGGAACTCTGAAAGCTCGGATTGGGTCATTTTTTAGATAACTTTTGAAAGGTATACTATATTCTAAACTCAGGATATATTGTCCTGGAAAAAAAGTTTAAATAAAAAAATAATTATAGAAATTTAAGAGATATCCAATGAGAGCTGAATTTATCTGTCAATATCTCTCTAATGAAGGGAATGTATGCGGACGAGCTTGTAACTGATAAGAAGGATGCAAAATTCATTGAAAAAGACGTCAGCGAAACTCTTGCAAACAATGTGAGAAACCAACTACCTCAATCCATAGTATGTGTAATTTACATATAGATAAGTATTATTCGAAAACATATTACCATAGGAAGAAGCTAAATGCCTTAGAAAATCTGCCTTAGAAAATTTTTGACTTCCAGAGGCAGAAGTGAAA